AAGCCAGACATTTCTATGTGTTAGTTAAATACTAGATGGTGTGCCATTATTATTGTTATCATTATCATCGTTCTTTCGCCCATAAGCCCCTTTTTTCCTATATGCTGCTGTAACGCATCACGAGACTGAACATGTAGTTTGAGTGGATCGAGGACCTTGACATCTGCGCGAGCCCATTATGGGTCGGTATGATCGAGGTTTTCTGAAGATGCTGATGCCCCTTCCTCTCCCAGTCGCTGACTCCCAGCCCAAGACTACCGTCGTCGCAGAGGATCTCGCTTCCTCTAACTCGAAGTTGAGATCGCTATGTCTCACCTCTGAAGTTGCCCACAGCGCTGCACTCCCAGAGAATATACCCTGCTCCAGGTGGATGCCTGTATATGTAACACGCGTATACTTGTTATAACGTCTACTTTTATTATGCATGTATATTGATATCGCCCGTATATATGCTTTCATATGCTCTGACCATTTCTACTGACTACTTATGCATAACTGTGCTCGATGTATTGATTTTCAACTTCGTTCAGTACTCGCTTTGTCTGAAAAGGACTTCGGGTGTTTTATCCGCCCGTGCATATGCAAATCTCAACGGTTTCGGCAGCTACATTGCAACGCAGATTACAAACCCCTATGAACTAATGATGTGGACTTCGGATCAGCATGCACTTTAGTTTTCTATCCAAAATACGGACTATACCTTAGCCAAGTTCACTTAACTTCAGTCTAATTTCATCAGCCCGACCAAGGAGCACGATGATCCTACTTATTGAGGATGATTTGTGCTAACACGCAAGATGTTCTCTACCTCTAGCCATTTCACGTATAAGTGGTGTTCTTCAAGTAACTGATAAACAACTTACTCGGAGTTCACTATATATTTTCTGTGTCGGCTTCTGGGTGTGTTCGATAGTATTGGTCTCGAATCCATAAAAGTCCTTCCGAATGGGAAAATATTTGAATATTGCTGATAAACTATGCTCAAATACGATGGTAAACTTCTCCGAAGTCTCATAACCTTTTATTATTTAGGCAATTCTGAACGACAGTTTACTTGAAGATAAAATGTTTAGTTAGACTTTTTGTTTACCGTCTAACTGCTAATTCTAAATAGATACGTTTTTCAAATTAATAGTTAACTAAAATTGCGGTCTTTAATTAAGTTGCGGCATTGTTTTTCCACCACAAGGCCACGATTATGAACCCAGTAAAATTTGAGGTATGGTAAACAGGAAAGCAACCGTGAACGCCTATCATTCCTTCATATTCGCGTAACTTACGTAATATTAAAAGGAGAACTAGGTATTAATAATAAGACAAATGCATTTCTATCTCAGTCAACTCCCTCTGACTGCATTTTCGGCCTTTTCATGCATCACTGAAGCATTATCGATAGCAAGGCAGGCAAATCAATTTCGGGAGCTTATTCTGGTTTTGGTCAACTGTTTGGGAGAAGAAGTATAGGTTTGCGTGCGCACAACTCGTAGCCCGTTCACCGACAATGTCAAAAAAGGCAAATAGTAGATTTTGATGGAGCCAAATCTCAATACTGCTTGCCAAGAGCAGTCTTTGCAGTGTCGCTCGGGCAGGTGAATATATGCGCACGTTAATTCATTAGTCCAGCAGACCGGGAAGGCACCTATCATAACCGAACTCTGCCAACTTACGCTACTTGTTTGTCCCACAATTTGGTGGGCTTTTAGATTATTTATGTTGGGTTTATTCCTGTTCGTATTATATATTATTTCGTTTCGCCGCCCAAGCGTTTTCAGAATTTGCGTGCGGTTTTTAATTTGATTTAACGTTCGATTGCTTATAACCCAAATAAAATGGAATGTCAGGTCAGTAAAAGTGAAATATTCAGTCATACTTTCTTCGAGCTCGCCACGGTGCTTCCTAGTTCGAGATTAGGCATTTTTCCTATTTTTTGCTATAAACGTAAAAATAGCATCAAAAATGGTTTGCAGCATTGACGAGTTTGGTGATTTCAAGCCTCTAATAAGCAAGAAACAATTGCATGATGACGCTTTTTATCCTCACTCAAAGTGTACTGAACCAAATAACCTAGCATTTTGAGCTTTCCTATCGACGCAGACGTCGAGCTATTGCCGGGTTGTCACATCTTATTTTTTGTTTAATTTCCGAATTGTTTGAATGAGACCTGGACGGATTGAAGCCCTGAGAAAATCTTCATCGAAGTCCGGCTTCCGCGCAGAGCGCGGGCTTTCTTCGCACCAGAAACACCTTCTTTGAAAAGGCAGCGAAATTTGCGAGTTTTTCATTCAGCAGCAGAATCTTCCTCATAAACAGGCCAAACTTTTCTAGCGACCTCCACTACTTTAAATCTCCTGGGCAACTCAAATAAAGGACGATACCGCAAATGTTCATTTTTTGACCAGATATTCCTTTCTTAATTGTTAATACTCAAAATTTATGTCAGGCAAATTCTGAGAAAGCATTTTGATACAGGAACAAAATAACCTACGAAAACTCTACGTCAAACAAAATATAACAGGATAACATTTGGAAGAAGTGCACACTTATAGGAAAAGACAATGGCATGTAGAGAGTATCGAGAGGGGAGGGGCAAAGGTTAAAAGAGGCAGTAGTAGGTGGACTGATACAACGCTGTTTTTGGCCAACTTTCAAATAACCCCACTTCTCGTTAAATCTCCTCCATTGTCATAATTGATCGGTCGTTTCCCCCTGTTATCCATTCAGAGCTGGTTTACTTTGAGAGGTAAATGAACCTGTGCAGGTTAACATTTTTGCATTAACGCGCATCAGGGGTAAGTGCTGGGAAACAATCTATGCTTAGAAGATTATTTTTATGGTCAAGCGTTTCCCTAAGAGGAAATGGAAAAAACTTGGCAAGATAATTATTTACTAAATATGTATATATTGGTCCATCATATTTTTGGAACTGGGATGTGCAACTTTGAAACCTGCCTTTGCATTCAAGACTGTGTTTCCATTTATTATGAAATCCTGTATACGTTTGTTAGTTTACGCTCTTAGTCTTTTGTTTCATTAAATTATTCAATTGGATGTGTGTTAAGGCAGTTTAAGCTTGTGGCTTAATGAACTCTTGGTTTGGAAATCATACATATGTATTCGCACAAAAGGCAAATCAATACAGAGAGGTTAACCCTTTTTATGAAAAGGGTTCTTTCCAAAGTTATCACCCGGTCTCTGTTTTCAATTTTAAAAGTTAGGAAGCTTCGATTTGAAAGCCTCCGACTTGCATGATGCACATATTTTATCTAGAAATTCAAATTACTTTCATCTATTGGAATTCGGTTTGTTAATTTCTGTGCCTTGAGAGCATTTTACACGATAAGGTGTACTTTTTAAAAGGACGTTTATTTTTGATTTTATTCATCTGAGCTCCTATTTTCGCAGCATAAGTTTTCGTTCTGCAATATTTAGCAGGTTCCTTTACACGTTAAGTATATCATATTTTCTATCAGTTTTATAAAACCCATTTTATCCCGAAAAATGTCAAGTAAATCATCACAATCTGTTTTTCATAACCTTTGCCCATGCAGTTTTACTATAACTTTGGATATTAAAACTGTATTTGTTCATCAGTGAGTGTTTTACCTACTGTTCTTACAAATTCTACAAACAGAGGCTTCTAATTATGCTGTTCTTGGATAGCTTTCAAGAGTAAATCTTCATCGCCCTTTGAAAACTAATTTAATTTAGAATAAAGAACTTCTTTTTAGTTAAAGGATGCATGTTTCTTGGTGCAGATGCAACCGGCCAACGAGTATCACAAAACGAAAAATTAACGGTTAACGTTCTTCATGTTCAACTTGTTTCCTATATTTGTAGTTAAACATTTCGTGCAGTTAACAATGTATTTCTCTCTTCTATTTGCTCTAGCAAATGACATCTGGTTAATTAACCTGAGGTAACTTTTCGTCCACACCACAATAATTTTATTGGTCAAAAACAACCAATACGCGGCCAGTTTTGCTATCCAATAGGCCAGTTGCTTTTCGGATATATGGAAACATGTAACTGTGACGCATGTGCACTAAGCAAGACCTTTTGAGACTATGACCAGCTGTCCTCATTCAGTAAAGACCCACTTAAAATGAATAGCAGTCATTCGCATGTTGACATGCCCTGTGTGGCCTTCTTGAAGCCCTCTCCAGTGGCCACTATAGCAGCCTCTGTCGTCATGACCATCTTCCTTGCAGTGGGAGTGTTGGGAAACGCGTGGATAATCTGGATTTTGTGGCGGTCGGACAAAATGAGGAAAAACCTTATCAACACCCTCATCATGAGCCTCTGTTGCAACGACATTATTAACCTCATTTTTGTTCAGTCTCTGGTTCTGCACAGCTACTGCTTTGGTCAATGGCTCGTAGGTACTTTCCTCTGCTTCGTGGTTCCCGAGGCGAATATGATATTTGTGGGTGTTAGCCTTTGGCATCATGCCTTTATAGCCATCCATCGTTATGTCATTGTCGTACACTGGATATTCTATCGCCACATGCACAAGAAGATGTATCTGAGGTTTGTCGTCGTTGGTAGCCGTCTCCTACCGTTGGCACTGAGTATCTGCTTCAACAGCATCTCTCTGGCTAAATTCTACGAAACACAGAGCGACAGTGTGAATACTATCTCAGCGGTGACTGCACCCTCGAAGATCACTCGTTTTCTTGGATCAGTCATGTTCTACTCACCCTTTCTTTTACGTTGTGTCTACAAGAAGTCGGAGGGTTCACGAATAGTCGCCGTCATGTCGCTCACTGTTATATTACCGTGCGTCATTGTCCTGATATCCTTTACCAGTCTTTTCATATATGTTCGCAAAAAGGGTTTGACTCTCGGGCGACAGCTTAAAAAGGCTAGGACAGTTGGCACCAACTGTCCTACCAGCCTCTACGATGACTCCGAACAACTGACGTCAACGTATCTCCCAAACTCCACAGCAGTGTCCGTGCCATTTAAGGGCAGCGAGTTGGACTACAATAATTACCTGAGTCCACCAAAGTCACATCTTCAAACAGACTCCATCAGTGAAATACAGAACTCAGAGCTTGGTCCTCCCCAATCTCCACAAACAAAGTTTGCTGGCCTGCTTCGTAGGCGGAACAGCTGTCCAAACCTCGTGGGTCTCATGGACAAGCGACGCATTTCGAGGGAGCTCAGTATCACTAAAATGTTTGCAGTCATCTTTCTACTATTCCTGGCTGGCTATCTACCCTACGGTTTTTTCCGCATGATGGACAAAGCAAACGTGGACCCTGCAGACTGCTCGCCCGCATTTAATCAAACTCACCCGGATGGCATTGGTGTTGAGGAGGAAATGATTGCTCTGATTCCATTGAACCGACCCCGGTACGGGCAAATCCAGAGGCCCGTTCTAAGTCCGATGTCAGAAAACCTTGATCGAGGGATTTCACCCAATATCTATGTTTTTCTTTCAGTCCTCTATGCAGTGGCTTCCTGTTGTAATCCTCTCATCTTTGGTGTTATGCATAGAGATATTCGCAAACGTGCAGTACAGTGTGTTCGAACCTTGTGCAACAAGTCTCAAAGAGTGGCATAAAAGGCGCCACTATCCACGTGCATCCAAAACACACACACCAAGTTCCTATGTTTAAAACTCATCCTGCTAGTCACCAGAAGACTTTAAACTGCACATAAACGTCCGCATTTTTTGACAGTCAAGCTGCGGGATTTGTTCCCGGAACGCATGATTTCGAGTTAATGAGTCAGTGAATATTTTTAAGCACTAGATATTTTGTTTATGTACGAAAAGCGGAAATAAAGACAGACAGCAAGACGATGTGGTTCCTCGCCATTTTTTTATGACCTTGGTGTGTAGTGAACATGCAGATGTATAGAAAACTACTATGTAAGCTTTAAAAGTTGCGCGTTTATATTAATGAAACATTACATTTCCTAACACCTTGTATAACCGAGCATATTTAGGTTACTTTCTGACTAACTGTTTAGCTGGCAAGATATTTATGCAACTTTGATTGACCTTTCGGTTATTTCAATAAATAGACAGTGTTACAGGGGATGCATTCAGAAGAGAGGTGTCGGTGGCAGCCTGGTTGGTACATGTTTATATGATTTCTCAGCGGAAACGTATGCCGCAGAAACTATATATGATATTCAACGTAATTTCAGGGATATGCTTGCCTGAACTCACTGTTCGAACAGTGTTTTCGCGAACGTCCAAACGTTCCTAAGGGAGGTTTATGGTTAATCATTGACAGCACGTAAGTCAGGGCTCTACTCAGGTAAATGAAGCTGTTTCTAAGGATGTCAATAACGCTCACCGGACCAATTTCACTAAACTGCTGGCGGTTTAGACAGCATAGCTTACGCAAACTAGTCACTCTTAAATGCACGTATTGATTAGAATAGTGTACAGATTGTGGAGCTAGTCAACCCTAAACTGAGCGATTTTGTTCTTTCGCATCCACAGCCCCTTGGTATCTGTTGAACTGAAATTATAGGTGCGTGCGTTATTAATCGTCTCTATGAGAAGGTGAGTGTGTTTCATACTAGTGACACTCTTGTCCACACAGCTAAGGTAAGTCGTCGTGCGGTCGTGTCTGCGCGGTCGTGTGCGCGTTCTGGATTTTATGTACCTTAGCACTTCAAGGTTCCGTCAAGATGACTGCTGTTGGCACCTTAATAGCGCAGCTACAGCCAGAGTCTTTCCGTTCTTGAGCAACTCAAGCTAAAGCTGTTTGCTCATTGTAGGTTAAACGTATGACCACCTTCTCCAACATGAGTCGCAGACTAAGCTTTTGGTTTTTGCTTCTAATTTGTCATTTTCTCGTGTAGGCCGGTGTACAGGTTCCCCTGTTTCCTGAATGCGGTTGTAGTTCTCAGCATTGCAATGTATTTTTTGCATCTTTTAGCTATATCAAGGTACAGTTGCCTTTTCTTAGAACTGAAGTTCGTGTTTTTTATTTGGAAGAACTTATATGATCAACCATTATAACAAGTAGTACAGTCACGTCAGGTTATCAGCTGCTTTAAATCATGTATATCATTCAAGACTTTACAGACCCAAGTAAGCATAGCATTTAAGGCCTTGCATTTTCTCCTATTAAAAAGGAGCAACATAGAAGACTCTCATAATCTATTTCAACTGAGTACCTAACTAAAACATAAAATTGCCGCCTGAGGTTGAGATTATTTATCTCAGGGGGTCACGATACTGAAAGGTATTTCTTTAACCTCAGACGGAGCTCAATAGATTTTATATTATTGCTCTGCTTAGGGCTTCGTTCTTCAACAAGAAAAGGACCTTTTATAGTCATCCTCAGTACGCATGGGCAAAGATATGTAAATATTTTCAACTTTAAATAATTCAAGGACGTTAAATTAAGAGTTCCATTATTGCGATAGTTTTTTCTCATTTCAATCGCCTACATGTTTGTCGGTGGAGCCTATATATATTCTGCCTCATTGTTTTAGATGGTTATCGTATTTTTACTTCTGAACCACTTTCACAACATTAACCGAGTTGGACCCTTAGGAACTTTTCCTCGCAGTAAAAGAAGTAGATAACACACGTTAAACATCGATTTTGTCCATATTTTACTCCCCGCCTAATATACATTTTGCAGACTTCCTGGAATATTCCCTTTCCAGTTTTGTGCAGACCTACATCTTTGCATCTTACAGGACATCATTACGTTTACCCGCTTGAAGCGTGCGCTATGATCACCAAGTTTCATTTGACTAAATATCTCTTTGGGCAAATTTACAAAATAACTGAATGCTCCGTATGTGTTTTGCCTCAACATTTACTTCTTTCATTATAATGGCATGCGACTTGTTCTTTGAAAGCAAAAACACTATTAGGAACACAAAACGAATATAAAACGTAGAAAGTAGATATTGCTGTTGCGCATTACGGCACGGTTTTTAGGCCACCATCGTGGAACTTACATTAAGTTTTTTTGCCTTTTGCGTTGTGAACTTGCCTATGCAATCCTGTTTATTCAGGCCAAAAAATCTGAGAAAGAATGTTCTTGTTTTTAAGGTAGAGAATAACAATTTGTTTAAATTAGGAACGATTTTCACTAAAGGATTTTGAGTATTCTGCCTTTTAATTGAGAAAATACAACTTGCACCCGTTAGAGAAATAGACCTGCCTGGATAAATTGGTACACAGCCACTTCGTTTTTCAGTGTACCACTAAAAGTGAACGAAATTTCTTCAACTACTGAAAAATCGGAAACAAAAATAAAACTTCACTGAATTTTAATTTTATCTTGGCATCGTGATTTTCGTGAATTTGGTGGATTATATTTTTATGGTTCTTCCCAGAAAACCGAGGAAATGTCGTTAACAATGTTAATACTCGCTCTTCCATGATCAAGTGTATTCTGCAAAATAAGACCACATTTAGGTCATGTTAGATGGAATATCCCGTTGTTATAGGTTGATTTGCATAGTTAAATTTTAGTTTTTATTTCTTTGAACCTGCTTGACATTCTGTAACTGCCTTACATTGAAATCTCATGCAAAAATTATAAAGACATAGGTCGTGCGTCCATCGCCAGATAACGGTGAAAGTCACTTCCATGCAAACCAATATCTCCGGTTAGAATTTTCCTAACAAATTTCTCTGTGAAAGGTCGTTTGCAGGTCATCCACCATCCAAATAGAGAGTACATGATAGAGCAGACACTATTGTCGGTATGACAGTAAACCTTATTGGGCACAGCAGTTAGACTATTTGTTTTAATCGGAGGAACATATGAAGTAAACTCTGCTATGTAGGCAAGCAAATAACCGTATTTATAATTTCGCAGCTAAATGTTTAGACGTAGTTTTTAAAGAGCGTGGTTGGGTAACGACGACTTTCCTTACCATTCTTAAACCACATCTTCGAATTGCGCTCTTTATCCTCGTGCTCTTATCGAACTTCTTAAAAATGCTTTTACGGTTCTCAGTTCATCGAAGCGTGAAAGTTTAAATTTGCAAGAAATTCTCCAACCAACTTACTTACTTGTCAGAATTTCAGTCCGTAATTTATGGTAATCTCGTTTGTGGGTCGAGTCTGTGCCTTCAGACCTATTGGTAAATAATTCGTAAAAAGGTTGTTTATTGCAGACAGCATGCAGAGAAGATGTGAATGACGGGAGTTTTCAGTTGCTAATGTGGCTATAAAAATTTATGTTTAATGCGTGATTAATAAAAGCCGAACATCATTTTTGGCAGTGGTGTTTAGGCTGGATGTGTTAATGAGAGCAAATTAAGACTCACGGTTAAAAATAGATGCAGGTTTTCAACTAAACGTGAGAAGATATAGTAAAAAAGCAACGGCCTACACTTATTTAAAAATCACTAAGCTGCCAGGATTTGTGATGCATTTCATTTAAGAACTTGTGACAATAGCCTGAAAATTGACCTAACCGAGAAACTTCTGTTAATTTATGCAGATGTCAGTGCTATCGTTAACTTACGAAAATGCATTAAGCCTATTTCATAAACTTCAATACCCCAAATTTTCAGGCATATTAAAGAGGCCGGTGTAGGTTTTATATATTTTAAGAGGTTTTTCCAAGAAATTGTGGTACATTTCCCGTGGCTATTTATTTTCATTTATACATGTTCGTATATTTCAGAGTTCAGAAATTTCCAAATGCCTTGAAACCCATTGTGGTACAAGTATAGATTACTATGTTAACATCTCGCACAACATAGACGATGCTTTTTCTCGTGGATGGGCAAATTGTCTCTATGTTTATGTCATACATATTTTATGCCACTTTTTGATCTAAACAGGCGAGGCACATAATTCACGAAAAATGAGGGTGGAAAGACCGGTGCACAGAAAATGCGCTTGAAAGGAAACGGCTTAAAATTTGATGTAAGTCAGCGCGCTGTATTTGGCAGTGATAGTTTTTATTCATACATGGGCCGCGGGGTACGATCTACTTAATAATTTGCTCACTTATAGAGAACCTGACATAACTCATTAAATATGCTTACGTCAAGAAAAAACAATTGCTCATGGGACGGCACATAAGCCAAGTAAATCAACAATGTGTCTTTTTATAAAGAACAACCTACAGTTAATTGAAATCACGAAATAGTATTCGCTTTGCTTATATGTAAGACAAACTTTCGCAAAAAATCACGCTTACGCGACTCATTACAATCCATTAATCGCAAAATGTTTGATTTTGGATTTTAAAATACTCTTTCTAGAATTTAAATATTTTTTGTGTTTGCCTGTTTTTCAAGATATTTTTGCTAAAAAAGAAAAGTTTTTAATTCATGTCTCTGATAATTGCTCAATTAGATAAAAGGTTTTGGAAAAACTCTATCATCTGGGCATGTATTTACAGCTACTTATAAATCCAACTTTTAAGCTTTGGTAAACATTAATCCTATTTTAATTGATTTAAAGATCTATATTCAGCTGGACAGAATTTGACTTGGTAATTCTCGTCAAATATGTTTCTGTTTGTTGAAATAAGCGCATGCTGATATATCAACTTAGGCTAGGGCAGTTAGACAATGTCGTAGTTACCTGAATATAAACCAAACTTAACTAAAACAGTG